ATATATATATATATATATATATATATATATATATATATATATATATGTTGAACTAAAATTTAAAGAGATATATAATATCTTGGAGTCATATTGACAATAAAATGGAATCAAATGATGCTGAATAAAGTTCACTGAAGTTTCCATTTCCAAACTAGAGTTTATTTATATATATAAAAAAAGAAAATATCTTTATTTGTGAATCAAACTGTTGAATGTCTTTGTAGTATCTGTCACTCTCTAATGTTGCAGAAAGAGAGAGGCTATCCAAAAGTGCAAGTATGATAATAGAGGAGCACTTTTGCTGATAAATCTTTTTCATTTCTGCTATTTGGAGATGCTGCTGATACTGTTGCTACAATCAACATGCAAACTGATCTTTGTCATCAGGTGAATGGAAAGATGAGATGGTTTGTGCATTAACTACTTGATGCTTATGTTCTAAGTCACACCCAACCTGCTCTTGCTGAAGATTAGGTTACCATGTTCACCTACCTACAGTAGCTTTTCTTGCATGCTGTTTTGGAAGACAGTAATGGTTTCCATCATACTCCTGTAAGCAATTAGCAAGTCTCCATTGACAAAAAATTGAGATTCTCTTTTCTATCTCATTTTATAGTACTGTAATCAGCTGAAATATATATCAAGGAAAAATATATATATACTCCAGTTGTCATTGACAAATCCATTATTTCTCCTTAAACATCATTCCTCATCTTCCTTCACAATTGTCAAATTAGTTGCCATTTAAGTTGTTGGATGCATTTGAAGATTCATCATAGTTCTCTTGGTTTTACTTCCTCCCTCTTCTTTTTTTTCCTTCAAAGTATTTTTTTTTCTTCTGTATTTAAAGTCCTAATATTTATCTTCAATTGATGGATATGAACTCAGATACAAATATTGACCCAATACTAAACTCAACAGCCATATTTTGTTTGAATATGAATCGAATATTGTACATATTAACCAACAATAATATATATCTCATACATATTAGTATAGATGAGAACAACCATATGTTACTAACTATATATGGCTCCACATATATATACACATACAGATATACTTCACCCTATTCAATATTTGCTCTGCTCTATAAATCTTGGCAAAAGTAAACTCCATAAACCTATCTAAAAGCTTTATTGCACTACAAAAACTTATTAAAAATAAATCATGAGAAAACAGAAAATAAACACATGATAAATACATGTGACTATGACATATTGTAGCTTTAGATAGTACACTAATTTTCATACTTCTCTAAGAAAAATACCTTTTCAATATTCTTTTGTTAAAACATTTGACCCAAATATTTATTGCAAATTAAAATAGTGAAAAAAAATATTAGTAGAGCAACAAATGCTCGAGGCTTGTGAAGGTCCAATATTCAAGATGGCAATAGAGATTGCAATAATGGATGATGATGACACATGAAATCCTGATGATTGGTGTGATTTATGTGTAGAACAATGTGAAAAGAGTATATTATAATATTCAAGATGGTATCTATCACATTCAAATATAAGATGATTTATATTATTTTAGATTAGTATATGACTTATCACCTCATTGTGAGTACCTTCCAATTGTTCCCATATGATATTGTCTCGAGCCTTGACAATATGTGACAAAAATGACAGCTAATGTTTTGGCATTCTTCCATCTATTTATTTTACCAAGCTCAGATAAACTTGTGGAGAATGTAGTTAATAGCCTCATGTAATGATGAGATAGAAATTTTGTTTTCACCTCATGTAATGAGATAGAAATATAAGGTGATTGATTATATAGGGATCAAAGCTCAAAAGCATGACTTCAACTTGATGAAATGGGAACATGAAGTGATCAAGGAGTATGGTAAAAGCTTAGCTTATCAACATTTATTCCATCATCATCTCCTACAACATCAACCAAAAAAGCAAGTCAGTGAGACAAAGTTAGTACAACCATGCATTAGTAGCCTTTGTCATGATTAGAACCACATGAAGATCTCTTCCACTTTGCTTGTTTTGTTTCCATTGATTCCTATCAAACTTTGTTGGCTAGTCTAAGCATATCTCTTATCATAACAATGGTAGAGAACAAAGCCAGCATTCTCTCACTTTGTGCAATCCCACATTGGACAATCATGTTCTCATGGACTGCCATCATCAAAGAAAGCATCACATGGAATCTATGAAATAATTAGGCAAAGTTATCAATGCTCAGCCATGTTTTTGATTTTTATATGCAACAAAATTCTCTTGTTGTTCCATTCATCTGCTTACAACTACTGCTTTTTACATTAAAAATGTCATATTTAGTAGCTTAATACCATCAACTTTATCAATCTCATCATATTCTCACTGAAAATGATAACATGTAGAAGGCATCATGTTGGAGTCTACAACATTACATAATATATGATTGATGACAGGTAACATCTCAATTGGCTGATCTGTCTGGTGCTGTCTTCCACTGTGGGGATCAAATCTGTGTTTGTTCCATTCCCTATAATGATTAGCTAGTGATAGAAATATATAATGATTAAAGCTGAATGCCTAAGGAAACCTTTTCTAACCCTTCCTTTTGTTTAGTTAGCTCTCATTGATCTACTCTTTTTCTTATCTTTTTATTTTCTTTTGTGGAAGGAGGGGCAAAAAGAAAAAGTCATTCCAATGGTTGTCTTCTTCCTCCTTCGAAGAAGTGGAGACGATTCCTCCGCGTTGCACACATAAACACCACAAGAGAATAACCCCAACCTACATGAGACTGATTTCATCCACCTTAGAAAAATTGAATTGGACAATTACATGTAACCCAACAAAGCATCATTCAAATGAGTTATCACACATCTCATATGCTGATAAGAATTTGGTTTTTTGTAAAGGGTAAGATATCATTAATGTTGAACTGAGGTTATAAACTGAGCTATACAAGCTCAGAAGCAAACAAAAAAAAAAGAGTGCTGGTTGTTCAATGAGCCACACCATTTGTAACAGTAGAAATATGCATCATATTGATAATTTAGAAAATATGAAAACAAAGAGAGTAAAATATCATTCAAAATGTTGAACCATGAGATGTTTGCATTTTCCTTAGCAAAATTGATAAGTTCTAAGAAATCAATCTTGATATGTATGTTGATTAGATTTAGTTCATCAATCTTTTGAAAATCATATAGCAAATCGGGAGTTTTAATCATGATGGGAGAGGAGAAAAAGTTAAATTTTATCTAAGTCGATATCCTTCGATCATTCTTTTCTCGAGAGGGCTGATGAGAGAGGAGAAAATGTCAAAACTTACCTATGTCGATATCCTTCGATCCTTCATCTCTCAAGTGGGTCTTTTAAGTGGTAGAACCTTCAAAGCGTGAGAATTGATCAAGTAGTTATGACATTGTTTCTACCGGCTCAAAGAAACTATGATCCGATGATAATAGCGCTACAAAGGATATCAATAGATTGTTTATCGAGGTTATCACCTTCATCAAGCCAACCTCCAAAACAATAACAATAGTAAGTAAGTTTGTATCGTAAGATATTCTAAAAATTAAAAAAACTAACAATTTGAAATATGAAGAATAGATGGAAAGAAGTATATGAATAAAGATTGCATAAAAAATAATGATTAATTCGATAACGAAGAACACAGAGGAGGTAAGGAGACATCCCTAAAGAAGCTTCAAAATACAGCACACATCTACGCAGATAAATATTTGTTGATGGTATATATAATCTGTTTGATCCCAATGCAAAACCTGGAAAATGTATTGAGCATATAAAACAGAAGTCTCAAATGACACCTACACTCAATCATAAAATTCAACATATCTACTAACATTTTGTTGAAGGATATGTTATGTATAAAACATTCACATATAAGAAATCTCACTTGCTTGGTTAGGCTTAAAACTTCCTACAAATGCTGTTTTCCCTATGCTTCCACATCTAAAATACCGGTTTGATGACAGTCTTACAGCCTCATTTGGTGATTACGTGAAGATAGGACGGAATCGTGTGACTAAAATAACACAATATATTTATTTTTTATATTTAAAATATTAATTTGATTATAGTATCACCTCGAGTGACAACGAAACGGAATCGTCTAACTAAAATAACACAATATATTTATTTTTATGAATCGTTTAACTAAAATAACACAATATATTTATTTTTATATTTAAAATATTAATTTGATGATAGTATACATAGTCACTCAACTCGAGTGACAACGAAACGAAATCGTCTGACTAAAATAACATAATATATTTATTTTTTATATTTAAAATATTAATTTGATTATAGTATCAACTCGAGTGATAACGAAACGAAACGAAATCGTCTAACTAAAATAACACAATATATTTATTTTTATATTTAAAATATTAATTTGATGATAGTATACATAGTCACTCAACTCAAGTGACAACGAAACGGAATCGTCGAACTAAAATAACACAATATATTTATTTTTATATTTAAAATATTAATTTGATGATAGTATACATAGTCACTCAACTCGAGTGACAACGGAATCGTCTAACTAAAATAACATAA